GTTTGTATGTAATGTATGAATATAATATACAAGTTTCACTTTTTAAATGGAATTACTGAAATAAATCTACTTTTTCATGATATTCTAATTTTATGACCAGCACCTGTATATATTCACATGTAGCAGCTGTCTCAAATCTCACATTAATAACAACATACCATGGAGTAATATAAATGATAGTAATCATACAGTAATAATTATGATAATATCAGTATGGAATCCATTTATTACCATGTTTTTATACTAAGACTTGAACCATTGAACCTCATATAAAAGAAAAACCCTGCAGGCCTAAAGCTGACTGAAGGTCAACTCAAACCCTCAATAAATACTTGAAATTAAACCAGTCATACGCAAATTTTACTTACATTTTGTATGCACCGTCTTTAAATTGTTGAAGGAAAATGAATTTGATTTCACAGCCTCAGACTGGTTGCCTCCTTGTATGGCTGTTATGGTTACATAAAGGAAGGACATGTAGAGTTTCTGTGACTGCCAGACGAAACTGCCAAGTTCATACGAATGCTCTCTGGTGTAAACCACATGAGGCTGGGAACTAAAGCCAGACAACATCTCAGTTATTCTGAAGGTAAGTCAAAATACAAAGAAGTACATGGATTTTAAATAGAAGCTAAAATCAAATAAGCAACAAAATGCAATAAAGTGCATTTCAACACTTGTATGAGAATTGCTGAACCTTACTCTTCAGGTTGTATGGTCACTTTGAAAGTGGTGTCTGGTTGCTGTTTGTTGTAAATCCAACTGACTGTGGTTTTCACATTTTGGCAGCTTACAGTAACGTTTGTTGGAGCTGGAACTGCAAAAAAAAAACCAAAAAAAACAAAAAAAAACAAAAAAAACAAAAACAAACAAAGACCCTTTAATAGTCATGTAGCTGAACATCTAGTCAGCTCAGACCATTTGATTAAGTACACTTCAGTTTTTCTCCTTTTACTCCTAGAGCCATAACACCAATAGTACAGACAGACATAAAGAAACAAGGAAACAAATATTTCTACAGCTAAACATGTTGCATTTATAAAAGGTATAGTACAGTGCCTTGCAAACGTATTCACCCCTTTGGCATTTTGGCACTGCGCATGTCCAAAATCTAACAATGACTTGTCTATGGGAGTCTGGGGCGCCAAACAGCTCGTGACCCGGAAGTGACTCAACACGAAAAAACTCATGAGTAAAATGGAAGTTTACACATCAATAACTCTAAATTATTTATTTTTTCTTATCAGAAAACATATATACAATATTTTTTCTAAAAATTTATAACATTTTATTTTGTTAATTTATTTTTTGTGTACCAAAAATAGTGGTGGGGCGGCACCCTAGTGCCCCCTATTGACCAGCCGCCACTGGAATTAAGTATGTTTTACTTTCTAATTTTGCCTTTTTTTATTTTTTCCCACTTTTAATATCTCTTGTTTTCATTTCAGAGCAATAAAACATTTTAAAAACCAAATACTGACTCTATTTATGCAAACCCACAGAACCTGCCAACCAGCAGGATCACGTTGAGCTCAACTGAACTGAAAAATGAACGAATCAGTTGATAAAGTGATTCAAATCAGTTCGTTCACTTCAATGATTCATTCATTCGATGATATTGATGCTGCAGTTATTTATCTTTAATGCAGTCATTCATCTACAAATCAGTAAATAGACTGTTACAGATAAATTGTGTAGTTTAAAGGTCTTCAAACCTGTTCCTTGTGACCCACTGTCCTGCATGTTTTAGCAGTTTGCTTAAACACACCTGATTCAAATAATTAAGTTTAGCAGAAGCCTGTCAATCACTTAATGTTTTCAGTCAGGACACCTGTTTCAGGACACCTGTAAAGTGTCTTTGAGCATCTAGAAATGCACTATATAAGACTGATGCATTATTATGTATTTAGAATTACTGATCTGTCCAATGTATAAGAAAATTTTAGGAGTCTCCCAATCCAATATCAGCCAAAAAATGAATATTGGAATATATCAGCCTGCATTTAAAATCACAGATAAGCACTCCGATACAAGCAGTCCATTCCAGTAGTACGCTCAGGATTTCTATCCAGCAGTGTTTGGATCCAGCATAAATGGCTTAAGTGACCTTGACTTGTTATTTTACACTTTGTATACAGTGGGTAAAATAAGTATTGAACACGTCAACATTTTTCTCAGTAAAAATATTACTAGAGGTGTTAATGACATGAAATTTTCACCAGATGTGGTAACAACCCAAGTTATCCATACATACAAAGAAATCAAACCATAAATGTCCAGAAATGAAGTTATTTTTAATAATGTGGAATGG